GGGGGGGGGGGGGGGGGGGGGGGGGGGGGGGGGGGGGGGGGGGGGGGGGGGGGGGGTCATTTTACACGCTCTTTTTGCTTTCGGCTTTGGGCAACGGCTACGGTTCCTTTGTCGAGAAGAATCACCGGTAGTTCCTGCCCCTGATAGAAACACGGCCAACAGTCGGACGCTCGTTGTTACGCTTCTGCCACTTATTAAAACGTCGGGGAGTAGCTCATCTTACCCGTAGCGGGAGAAGGGTGACAAGAAGGCGGCGGGACGGGGGGGGTATGGCAAGAAATTACAAAGAGAGGAAGCGGGCTGGAACCTCTCGTTGACTGCCGCCCTTCCCTCTCCGTCTCATATTCCCTTTTAATCAAATAGTACCTCCGGATCTTCCGGAAAGTTGGAGTTGAACCGGGCGAGAAAAAAATACATAGTCAATCGTAAGGCGGGGGGGGGGGGGGGATGCACTCATTTGATGCTTTGCCGAAGTCGACGCTCTTGCAAACAACAGCAGGAGCGCTCGACAATGTCGCGCTCTTGACGTCGTAGTACATCGCTCGACCTTCGTTCCAATCCTGTCTCTTTGTTGCCTTGCTTGTGTGGCCACCATGCACGTACGTGTTTGGTAGGATAGAGAGTAGCAGAATATTTCTCGCAACCGTGTTTCAGCGTACCATACGGAAAAGACCTTGTCCTCCTAATCGCACTCCCTTCAAAACGGAGGATGATTCAGGCGCTGGATGCATGCAGTTCTTCAACTGTGTACAGCACTAGACATGGCGCTGTCTCCCGGAATAGTGCCGCGTGGACGAGACAATGCATAGCTCGAAGCAACGAGGTTGCAAACAAGGAACGTCCCCGTGCAGCTGTCATCAATGACGATACTGACGCGTTTAAGCGCGGGGGGTGTTTAAGCGCGGGCCGAGGCAAGGCCTTGACCCACACACCGCTTGGTGACAAGCTAACAACATATAGGTGCACAATGTCTGCCGGATTTACCTAATTTGGATAGCTATCATGGGGGTCACGATCGATATGAACGCCAAGCAGCAGACCGAACGCAACGCGGGGCATCGAACTGCATGAAAATACATTTGTTTTTTTGCCGAGAGCAAGCTGATGCAAAAAAGTTGAGCGAGTGTGGCGCGGCTCGAAGTGAAGCACTGGCAGCTCTACCGCCTTAGCATTGCTGAGGTTGATGATCTATAAGAGGAGTCGTTGGCGCCTTGTCGTAATTTCGGGTCGCCACGTCGGCTGGAGCTGCGTTCAGATTCATCAACTGCTTCACAAAACAACACTCTCCATGCCGCTTATCCCAGGTGTCTAATGAAAGTAGGAATACAACAAACGAGTGCTGACAAAAGAAAAAATAACCCAGTGTGCTGAACGTGAGTGCGCAACAAAAATAGCGCATAGTCGAAATCAAGTATATCCCAGCCACAATAAACATTACCTGTCTACCCTCGCGATCCTTGCTCCCGGGCACTATTTGGCAGAATTCTCTCTCGAGGCCTAGCCTGGCGTCCTCCACCTTGATGGGGAACGCCGCCTTGTCCTCTCCGCACAAGCCGACCTTCACCTGTGATAAGAGCGGCAGGGTTCTCCACGTGTGAACGTATGTACCAAGAGACGTTTGAATAAGAACGTTGCGTAAAGAAGTTGAGGCCCGCGAATGACAAACGTCAAATTGGGGTCGAGACTCAATTTCTCATATTGTCACCATCGTCGAGCATAGGTCAATATTTAGAGTTTAGTGCAGGATCCACGGCTGAGGTGTGTTTCGTTTAAGTCAGCTTTTCTTACTTTCCCCGAACGGCCCAGCCTTTTTAACTACGTGTTTCCTACTTGAGTGCCGCAATCGTACTATGAAATATCAGCGAAGAGATTGAAGAAGAAAGGGTTGTTTGTTTAATCAGCTATGCTCACTTCTGTTTCATGCCATACACGCGTGCAAGTCCCATCGGTGTGGGCGGGTCTACTACCAGAACGTTTGGAACCCCAGTGCTCGGCTCTACGATCGGTGTGACATTCATTAAACCACGTTCAACGGTCATACCGACACCAACACCGACAACCCACGTCAACACCAAAGACACCACCACGCCAACAAGGGCTAGAACATCATCGTAACCACTATCTACACAACACGACGCCATCACCAGCAACAACATCCATACCTTCCAGAACTTGCGGTACCTATCCGCAGCCTTGTGCGGCTTGAAAACCTCGCTCCTCAAGAACATGAGCAGGAAGTCGTCCGTGGGGGGTGGTGCACGGCTCCACGCCGGCACCTTTTTCAAATTCGCCCTCATCGCCGCCAGGCTTGCCATTACCAGCTCTTCAGTCTCGATTGCCAGGAGCTGGTTGGGTGGAACAGCAGCGTAGTACGAAGAGATTGGTATCACAGTGCGACGTGTGCGTGGGATTTAGAACTAGATGCGTGAAAAGGGGTGTCATTATCAGAGCCCATGGCTTGGAATAGCGAAGGAAATATTTTTCTCGCATTGGGTCACACAGCAGTCACGGGGTTCCCTAATCATGGACGTTTACATAACAGCAACTTTCACACACGACATAACGGAGAGCTTCTCCCTGGTAGTTCTGCCGTCGACCCAGTAGAGAACTACAGGGGATGTGTTCAGAGTGTATCCACCTATACAGATGCGTTTGTTCTTAGCACCAACTGGCATCACTGTTAAGCTCAGTGTATAATCTTTCACAAACTCAAAACAAGCCCAGTTTCCAGTCGGTTTCAATCCACATACTGACTGAAATGAAACGACTTCAACACATCCCTTTCGACTGAGGTTATATCTCGAACGGGCAGTATTTTTGTGGAGTTATGTTTACGTCCTAATGAAAGCGTTATTTGTGTTCAGCCGCACTGAGACGTATCATTGGTCAGCCGGTTCGACCCCAAAACAAACCAAAAACACAAAAACACCCACACGTGTGGTACACCGCAAGGCATGCTGCGGAGGCAGCGGCCATCGACCTCGCCCTTCTTGGGTGTGTAGCCGGGGGCGAACGTGGGCTTTTCCTTTCGTTCCATCAAAGCCCGGACGTATCGGCATTAACATGTTTGCCGAACCCGCAGGGGTCACACAGGAGGAAAAACACAGCAGTACAGAGGTTTCCTTTTTCTCTCCGCCTTGTCCCCGGCGGTGCTTGCCTTCCAGCTTCTAAGGGTTGAGCAGTGGCTTCCCCAAGTGTTCACTCGCGACAGCTGTGAGTTCCACGCCTAAATTGCGGATACAATTTTTCACGCCAGAGACGTTCGAACCCGCAATCTACTGCGGTTGTGTGCTACAGAGTCAGAAGGTTACCGTTACCACGTGCATCACTGGGGGACCTTTTTATCGTATATGACACAAGATAACACACCCCCCTGGACCAATTTTCAAAGCTCGATTGTGCGACAACGAGGAGGATGCATAAATGAAACAATACATTTTCGGCAAGCTCGAGACGGGACAGCTTCAACTCCACCGTTTTCCGCGCTGGAACTCTTTCTGCTGTCGAGAAATCGAGATTTGAAAATCGGTCCAGGGGGTGTGTTATCTTGTGTCATCTACGGTATTTCGCTGGGATGAAACAACCGATGCAGCCATCTCGGCTATTGCTCGCTTGGCACCGGCTGTGGCTATGGTGGGTTCGCGATGTGCACACCCTCGGGACAATGCAAGTGTAGAGATATCGTTAGCGCTCGCACCTAAGAACGAGGCAGTTTAGAAATTGATACAGCGTCGAACTTGAGCACCCTTGAGCTCGCTAAAGAACCTCCATACACTTGAAAGCAATATAACGGCCATTCGTAGCATTACCATAAGTAGGAACTAAGAACAACCCAGCATCGCCCAGAGTTTGAGCTTCTTGAAGTGCGGGCGCGAACTACTGCTGTAGCAGCGGCCACTCCGGTCTGCTGGTGAGCTCGGCTCACTGCTGAAGTTCCGAACGCCTCATGTCGCTGGGATTGGTCAGCATCAAACGCTCGCACATTGCTGATATTCATTCGTTTACTACATCCGGCTCGTAAACGTTTTGGCGGCTTTATGTTTCTGTCCCCACATTGTGTGCCCATTAAACCACGCGGAACACAGACTAGAGCGCCCCGTGTCTCGCAACATCAGTATACCGCGAATTTGCAACACGCCAGACACGCTGATAGACCTGGTTCTTTTTATCACCAAACCTTCTTAACTGACTGACTGCCAATGCCAACGGATCGGTTGCTCCGCAGGAACTGCTGCTTTAGTGCCCTGTTTGACGCCCGATACACGTCAATGCCTGTTGCTGGATGCAACGAAGTAGCTCCTAAAGGAGGAAGTGTCCACAAACCAAGCTACTCCTCAACTAGAGTACCGAAAAGAGCAAAACCACGGAAGTCTTGCTGGAAAGACAAGCTACACGCTGATGTATGTACAGCAGTCCACGAGAAAAAAAAATGTGAACTACTTGATTACAGAGTGGACTTCGCGGGGTAATTGGTCCATATTTGTGAGGAGTGTTTATCCTATCCGGCCTACAACGTACGGGCAACATAATACCTGTTCCACGCCGGACGCGAAGCAGAAGATTTCATAGAAGGCTACAGCAGGCAGGAGCAAACCGCAGCAGGCTGCGCCAGTCTCCCCTACTGCAGAATATTGAAACGTACCAAATTTGAGTTTGATTGTGTCCGAAGACTTTGGTACCAGGCGCAGCAGCTCCTACACATCAAGGCTTGTAAGTGAGCTTTTTCTGTGTGAACATGGAGTAGGAAGGTCATGCGCCATCACCCTTTATCTTCAACGCTCGACCGCCAACACGACGACCATTCATTTTTGCTTCGGGAGCAACACACCTTCACAACATGCACAACAAAATACAGCTCTGCAGCAGCGGAGTGATGAAGCACACAGCAGGTGTTCCCATCACGCGCAAGCCAAGGCAGCGTATCTAGGTAAAATTAAAATTCTGGAAGCAGAACACGCACCTGCCCGTTGGAGGCAAGCACCGTCGTGGTGAGCTCCGGTAGCACTATCTCCTCCGCATCGTCGCCGCGATCCATAGTTGAAGCGAGAGACACGATCTGCACGACGCGCAACAACGATGGTGGAATCTACTACAGGGCTACAAATTCGACAGGGGGGACAGAGCAGTTGTTCCGCCGCCAGGGCTTTTTGATCCCAAAGGGTGGGTCAACCACAACCAACTCTTCGACCACTACGCTCTACTGCTGTAATGCTGCGCTCCTTTCCGCCACACCTCTGCTGCCGCTCCGTTAGGTCTCCTGCCACCAAATTGGATGGTGGGGCTGGGTGATAGACCACTCTCTCGTGTCGGCTGCCGACAGCTAATGATATATATGATGATGTACGATGACAATGAGGCAGCCAGCTATCATACGGACCGAAAAACACAGTACGCAGCACGCGTTGTTGTCCCCCGGTCCCCCGGGGCCCCGCTCTCAACCGGGTTTCCGATTAGAGCGGCGTTCTGAAACGCTTGGTATTGTTCAGCGGAGACTCTTATACTGCTTTCGTTGTTCAAAAGAGTGCTCTCCCTCGTTGGTTTCTACTACATAGAGCTAGCCATGTGATTCTCTTTGTGGCGCCTCGCCCCGTACGTTTTTTCTCGCTCCCCTCTGTGTTGTTGGTTTGTGGAGAAAAAATGATAGTAGATGGTCAGATTTTGTGGAGAAATATCATGATACAGAACCGGCCCGCACTTAAGAATATGGACGTTAAGAATTTGAGCCTCAAANAACATACACAGATGGAGGAGGAGGGGGGGGGGGAGGCGTTCCCAGGTTTGGTATAGNTGGCCTTGATCCCCGACATTCTATGCGTTGTGTAGACGTACAGAACCGGCCCGCACTTAAAACTATGGACGCTAAGAATTTGAGCCTCAAAAAATCCAATTTTTAAGAATTTGCCCGTAAGAACACGTGCTCAGATCGGACCTGCTGTTAAGAACAAGAACCTCCAGTGAGGTGTACGACTGGTGCTACAGATAAAAAGATACTACATGACGCGGCGGTGGCGAGAGAAGAACATACACAGATGGAGAAGGAGGGGGGGGGGG